ATCAATAAAGAATATAAAGAAAGAAAGAAAAGAAAGACGGGAGGAGAGAAGGAGAAAACAAAAGAAATGGTCATCTATGTCTTCGTCATCAATAGTCATGGAATGAAGAGCTTGTTTTAGTAATGAACAGCATCAACAAGTTGATATGAAACCATCACGTAAGCTTACGGGTTATTACTGAAAGTGAGATTTAGAAGACAAACTCAAGGTTAGTCCTTTTATTCATTTACTGAACCGATAATTGCTTCGTGTATATCTATTTCATGTGTATATATGTATGAGTACGTATGTCTGCATATGTATATATCACCATCACCAACTGTCAATTTTGATATTTGTTCATATTGAAAAAATATGAACAACGAATCTAAGTGAAGGATTTAATGAGTAAATCGACAGGACATGATCAATAATGCGTTCAAACTGAGTGTATAAAATAAAAAAATAAAACGAGAAGATTCTTTCTTGCTTTCACTTCACATCTATATACCATTTGACATTGTTGAATATGGTCAACCTACCAACTTTTCATGGTAAGTGAGTTAATCTCGTAGAAATAGAGAAACTTCAAACATATGCCATTGATCATTGTATATCCATATTGATGAACGAATGACGATCTGCAAGTAGTAATCGATCTGCGTGCCATGATCAACAGATGGTTTTACTTGAGAGGAAAGCTTTGAATGAATATGCAATGCTTTTTTTTTCTCATGACAGAATGATAATCACTTGTAGATGTATTCGTGTCGTTGATATACAATGATGCAATAGGTACAAATATGTTCGCATGCGTGAGAAATAGTTGAAGAAATTGAAGCACCGTATTTGATCATGACTTAACGTCGATCGATAAACTCTTGTCATATCTTCGTTCAATCCATCCACATGTACATACGTGCATAAATACATTTTGATGGGTTAGTATCTTTTCAGTTATTTTTTTACTTATCGGATAGATTATCAGAAGATAAGTGCCGATATATCTCTCATTTCACTTTGTTTTAATTTATGCATCACTATTTCGTTCTTTTCTTTTTCTGAGTGACCATCACTTTTCCTATTCTATTCTCGTCAGGCGAACTGATTAATACATATAAGAAAAGAAAAATAATCGATTTGTATATATTTTGAACAATAGGGACAGTTGAAGTGGACATAATCAGTAGACGATATAATAAGAAGAGTAAAAAGTTCCATACAACTTATGTGAACTAAGGAAATGTAAATTTGATCATTGAGAGTCACTTGTGTTCTCTCACCTACATTCACTTAGGGTTTCCTTTTCGTTCTTTGTTTAGCAAGACAGTATGAGAGGGAGCGAGAAAGCGATGTTGTATTGACGGCAACGAAAGAAAAATGAAATCCTTTTTCGGCAACGAAAGCAGAAGAGTGACATAATACGACTATTACTACTATGATGTTTCGAATATGACGTGACAATTGAAAAATTTAGGTAGAGAACAGAAGGAAATCATATGAGGAGAAGAACAAGAAGAAGAAGATCTGTTTTCGATTGGACACTTGTTGAGAAGAGAAAAGAAAAGAAATGCTGACCACTGTTCGAGGTTATAATCATTTGATGTTCGACGCGTGAAATTACTTTAAGCAATTGATTATAACGGTTGACGAACACTTTGTGTCTACTGAAGTGTTATGCAGGTATCAACAAGAGGAAAAGATTATTCCTTCAATCGACATCATGTCTTAAATAAGATTAACGGTAAATTTCATCCGCTAATAATATTGTATTTCCTTTCTTTTTCTTTTATTCATTAACCCAGATGTTTATAGACTTCTACTTCGTTTGAATGCGAAGAGAAATGTTGTCTATAGTTCAGAGGCTCATTTCGATAGAATACATCTAATAGCATTGAAATGATTCTCAGTAAATGGCAACGAGTTCCTTCTTCTCAGACATAATGGATATTCAGTGAGATAATATCAGACATCTGTCAAAAGAAAACGAGCGTTCATGTCGCTTTTCTCAGCATTATGACCGCTATAAGAAAATGATATAGCCTTTCTGTTATTTCCTGTCCAAGAAACATGCACGATTGGTTTTTATTGATGCGCTATATCGCTCGCACACACAGAACGCACTTGCCTTTTCCGATAGATAAGCAATCATCGTTTCTTGTCCGTGATACAAAAAAGCAAAAATGGCAACCATCATATACTCTCGACTCTACATTATCCCTCCTTCTTTCTCTCTCTCTCTCTCTCTCTCTCTCTGTCTTTATGATGTAAAGTATACCTACGTTGTACTCGTTTCAGCAACTGTCCTTTTCCCGACTAACAACAGTGATGATGACGATGATAGATAACTTCCTGTCAGTAGTATGGATAACCATTGTTACTCATATCTGACGGATACGGAACAAATAGAAACACAATTTGTTTGTTGTTGTTGTTGATGCTGATGTTATTATTCCGACATCATGTTGCTAGATTCTAATCAGTCTAGTCAGTGATAGAGCAAGCTAAAAATACAACCAGTACAACTAAATAAAGAATAATAACAATAGCATCGGCAACCAAACCATACGGCCTATTAATCTATATAAAGAAACTATTAGACAAGAATATTTCTTCGATAATTTCCGTTTTTTGCATTTATTATCATGGAACTTGTTAAGCGCCATAGACGTCAACGCTTACATCGTTTACGAAGTAAGATATTAATCATTTATATTGAATTAATTTGATTAGGCAGGTGTTAAATTCGAGTTTTTCAATTGTCAAGGCGAAGAAGCAAAAAAATCTTTTAATATCATTCTCTTAACTGTACTTTCCTGTGACGCATACAATATATTAAATGAGAAAGAGCAAATTTAATGAGAAATTCATGTGATATTGTCAAATTAAAAAACGATATTCAGTCAATTTGTTCTTTTTTTTTAATATGAAGACAGAGTTGGAAAGAAATCTAAGGTTTTTGTTACTTTTGAAAAGACAAGAGAAATGAAATTAGTTTCGTATCTAATTACGTGAGTATTATTCATTTTTATTTGCGATTGATTTTATAACGAGTAATGAAAAATGAGCTTCGTCAATAATTTAACGATATTCGTTTTTCTTTTCTCACTGTGTTATCGATAGTCAATAGTTAAAACGAGAACAAGTTAAAAGTACAGTATCACATCAATAGATAATGTATAAATCTACACGGTCGTGATTTTTCTTTTGTTTGGGTGTGTGACGCATGAACATCACTCTATCTTCTAGTCTCTATATTTTGCTTACTAATGAATAAAGAAGAAAGAAAAGAGGAGGTGAGAGAAAAATGACAGTTGTAATTATATGACTGTCTCTTTTATACTCGCAAACTGTTTGTCTTTTATGTCTAGAGACGACGTCCGAGTCGGGTGTCAGTGATCTTGAAACAAGTATGACTGATTTTCGATGCACATGTTGTCCTTATGGATATCATTTGGATACGGACTTCATGAGGTTTCTCGACGATATGTATGGGCCAGATGTTCTACGCACACTGAAGAAAATTGAACGTAAACGGCATGATGTGCGTCGTCGTCTAATCAATGAACAGGTATGCTTCGTTTCTTTTTCGTATTTTTTCAAGACAATGTTCAACTCTCCATCGATATTGTAGGTCATTATCTAACTGAGAAAAATGCTGACAAAAAAAAGGACGATTGAACACTGTTCTATTAGATAGATAGAGAAACCCTTGTCACGCTACTTCTCCTTGATAGAACATATGTGCTCATTACTTGACCAGGGTTGAATAATTTATTCTAAATTAAACAAAATTTTGTGCGCTTGCTACGTATCACTCGCTAGTTCATATCATTTTGTCAAAAAAAGTCGACAACGGGTGATGACATTGCTCATTTCTTCTTTTTCTGTCAGCTGTCAAGTATAAAAAGAAGAAAAAAAAACGAGCTATTCGTAAGAGAGAAAAATGGTACTTTATGAAGATTATTTTCCAACTGAGTCTTCTCCATCAACTGCATCATCATTAATTTATAATGCACTATCGAGTCATACAATCTATGATATTTATTTTCTGCCATCGTCTTATGTACCGCAAAATATAAAACAAGAATATCTATCTACTCTTAGTTGGCTCGATGATAGATTCGTGAGTCGATTTGATCATTGATTATTCATATTGTTTTGAAATATCGATTGAATTAGAAGAAAAGACATTTGACTTTTATTTTTATTCTATAGCCCAATCACGCGAATCCGAGTCAATCGTGCGCACAACAATCAAGTCCATCTGTTGACAATGAGATTTTACGTGAAACTTTACTTGAACTTGATCGTATTGTCGAGAAAGATATCAAAGAATTAGAAGCCGAATGTCATCGACACGCAAATAATCGAACACCGAATGGTCGTTCAACAAATGTGCACCAACAGCGATCTCGCTCCGTTGATTCGCGTCGTCATCTACGACCACCACCACGACCACCAACGTCTTCTTCAACGGCGGCAACAGCAATGGGCATGCATTCATCCACTGCTCGTACAGCGGAAGAACATCGTCTCTATGAACATCGCCTACAAACGGAAAAAACGATTACCACTAGAACGCATTCAGCCCCACGTCTTAATTTAAACACAAGTGATATGATTAGTTCATTTCGAAAACTAGACACAAGCAGCGGTGGACCGATTACTATGCTGTATAAGATCCCTCCGCCACCATTCTCGCGATCGAGTAGTTCAAGTTCGATATCAACTGAACCAACACTTCGTGTATCAAGTCCAGAACCTGACGAACGTGAACCACTCAAACCGTTGTTTATCACCGAAGTTAATGTACCACCGAAACCAGCTGTGCATATATGTAAACCAACTAAAACAACAGTTGTTACGATAACCGATAAGACAGAAATCGAACGGCGTAATCGTGAAATTGAACGTTTAGAAATAGAACGTCAAACTCTTTTAAACGAAAAAGAAATTTTATTGAAAGAAATTGAACGATATAAATACCGACCAAGTAAGCTTTGTTTCCCTTTCACACGATTTCTCTCTATCTCTCTCTCTTTTGTCACTTCGATAGTACCGAAAAGTCCTGAACAAAAACTCGTAACCACGAACATTCAAACTGACCGTGAACATATTGAGCAACATCACGTACATCATCCACAATCAGTAAAACCTTCTACACGTGAAGTTGCTATGCAACATATTGTCGAAGATGAAAAACCACCACCTCTACCACCGAAACAACGTCAGCAGCGCGATGTTGCAATCAGTCACACAACTGAATATGACGATGACGATGAAAAACAAACGGAAATCGTTCGACGAAAATTAGAAGAAATTAAACACTTTTATACCGAACGAATACATTTTTTGGAAGATCGTATACTCGAACAAGAAAGAGATATCGATCGTTTGTGTGAACCTAAAAAACAGCGACATGTCAACACTCAATGTCAACCAACGATGCAAGATCGAGCCTTGGTTACTGATACAATTCGATCAGGTACAGACTATTAGGAGATTTATATTTCTTTATTTCTTATTAATCTCTATTTCTTTTTCTTAGTTCGAGATGTTGCTTTAACTTGCCATCTTCAACCAACATTACCAGGCCCTGTTGGACATCGTGATGTTAGTCTTCAATGCAATACAAATGAATTTATACAGAAACGTGATGTATGGATGGAAGCGTTGCCAGATGTGCCAATCAAACGTGATGTGTCGATTGGCGTATCTCTTGATGTATCATCGGATAAACATTATCGAGATGTTGGTACGCATGTCAATTTTGATTATAAACCAGAAGTACGTCAACGAGATGTAGCGATCATGTTTGTACCGGAACCAATACTAAAACATGATCGAGCATCAAATACACAAGTTGTACAAACAAGAGAATTCGGTGCTTTTGTTGATACTATGTAAGTTTAATTTGTTTGATCATATATCTCTTAGAATTCTCATAGAACAAGAATGTCATTAACATGAAACCTATTTCTTTGTTCTAAGTACAAAGATTGTGGGACCGACATTTTCTCTGCTCCTTCTCTTGTTAATAGATAAAGTATTTATTTTCTTTTATAATAACAAACGAACAGTTGTTGTTATTTCACATTTAATCAAATTCTTCAGGCAACAAAAACAGAATCAAATAACAGCAGATGAAAACACTTTCACCGAACTTCCCCAGTTAATTATATTGTTCTTTTTAGTGAACCACCGAAACTTCCATCAAAACCAATCATGTGTCAAGCTGCAACCGATACTCGGAATCTAATTATTCATAAAGATACCGCATCTGGTTTGGATGAAGCTAGACGAGCACGTGATATGTCAACGGATACAGTATCTCTAGTTACACGACAAGAACGCGGCAGTGGACATGATGTTCCACGTGAATTACTATCACGTCACATGTCAACAGATACACGTACATTAATATCAACACGAGATAATTTTTCAGCGACCATACCCGTTGCACAAACAGTTCATGTTGACGCACATACACAATCCATACATCCTGTGCAACATGATGCATGTTCAAATACGACTGCACCAGCGGAACAACGACATACAGGTGTCCAAGTAAGTCATTAAAGACACCGTTGAATAAGCACAGATCGATTTCATTGATGTGATTTAGGCTATCCAAGAATTGCCACTGGTTAAACATATAACCACATCAACGGACCTTGATGTATTTCATCAAATAGGTCATCTTAGACATAGTGTTTCCAATACGGATTCGAAGCGATCCACCGATCGTTCGACTGGTACCGAGCGTTTATCATCACGCGATCTTGCCGTTAATACAGAACCGAAAATTATGTATTCCAAAGACGTAGGTGATTTCGATATACGTGTTGGTGATGAAGAGAACGAACGAGAGTATGTTGAACATCAAGAATTCACATGGAATACAGCGTATGCTCGACGAACACCTTTGCACAGTCAATCAACAACCTATGAGCGCGGATTCCAAACTGATCTACATGATACTAAACGTGAAGTCGGCTATGTGGAACGACCGACGAAACAGCAAGAAGATTCAGTCGTCGAGCAACGACAAGAGATTATTACATTTCGCATACCCAAACCATCGATTGAAACAACAACAGAAGAAACTTATGAAACAACTGTCACAACAGAAAAGCAAAAAGCAAATCAATACTCCGATGAAATAAGAACCCAAACGAAACATGAGGATGTCGATACAACAATCTTCAAAAGTGAAGTTACAGAATGGACACGATCATTGGGTACTAACAATGTCATGAAATCATCGACAGACAGTATCCAACGAGAAAACACACGTTCACGTTCACCGGAAGAACTCGTCGAAGAATCCTATGAGATTGTTTCGACATTGACAAAACCACACGAGGAGGAATATTTGGTAACATCATCGAGTCCACGACTAAATAAAACATCTTCGTCGTTAACAACAGGAGCACGAGCTTATACTGATGCCAACACGGCAAAAGCGATCTCCAGTGAAGACGATAGTTCTTATTGTGAAGAATGGACAGTTACAGAAGCAAAACGTAAACAAGATGGACAAACAGTACAAACTATTATCGATAGGTATGCAAAATCAATTTCACATCAAATGTGTTTTTATATGAGTTTCTTTTCTTTCAAACAGAGGCGGTCATCATCGTTATAGCATCGATGCGGAAAGTACACATGCAACATCGAGAGATGCAACGACAAGTTCATCAGCACAAATTCGACACCAATCGAGGTAAGTTGAAAGAAGTCGTGCCGATCGATTAATTCATGCAGTTCATTCCAGTGAATCGAGTACCATTGCCAGTGGAACACAAATTCGTGAACACGAAGAAATAACACAACTATCACCATCAAAAGTCTGCAAAACAACAGTTTATGAATCTCATCGAACGCTTGGTACTGGTCAACCTGCTCTCGGTGTGACATCAACCGGTTTTCGTACATTTCCAAGCGTTCACACAGATTCTCAACAAACAACAGATCCAGCTGATGAACAGCAAATCGAAGAAAACTATGAAGTTACCGTATCCACCTATGATGAGTCAGGTGTCAAAATACTTTCATCTGATCCAATGATGGATCCATCTACTACTGGCGAAGGGTATCTATTTTCATACATACATATATATATGTATTTGATTAAATCTTAACATGTATCGTGTCTAATTAATAGATTCGAACTTGATGAAGAAATGTACATCGCTTGTGCTATTGTTAATGAATCACTGTACGATAAAAATGCTGATAAAAAGAAAGTGGTGAGTGTTTCAATTAGTACTCATGCTTAGTTACTTTACCTCATTTCTTTTTAGCATAATTGTCTTCAATTAATTCAACAAGAATGGTTTCGTATATCGAGTCAGAAAGACGTTAATGATCGCTTAGTCGAAAGTTATCTGAACAGTATCAAAGAACATTTTTCGAATTTTTTACTCGAACGTATTGTCAACCTTCAAGATGCTAATGTAAAATGAAACTTCTAATCAACTATAATATTCATTCGTTTCTCTTCTAATTAGGGAAATACTGCCCTTCATTACTCCGTGACCCATGGCCATTGGAAAGTCGTAAATATGCTCTTGGATACAAAAGTATGCGATGTATGCTTACAAAACAACGCTGGCTATACAGGTAAGCACTAAAATGAATTCAATGACTTTGTCTGGAACGCCCTTTTCGTTAGCCGTTATGATGGCTGCAGTAATTGATATAACTAATGATGAACAAAAACGAACTGTTCGTCGTCTATGCCGAGAATCAGGCAATGTGAATGTTAAAACAACAACGGTAAGATTTTATTTGAATATACCTGAGAAAACTACAAGATAACTGTAAATATCTATATGATTGTAGAGTAATCAAACTGCGCTTATGCTCGCTGTTAAACATGGCAAGACCGATTCCGTCGAATTATTATTAGAAAATGGTGCTGGAGTTAATTTACAGGATACAGATGGCTCAACGGCATTGATTTGTGCTGTTGAACGTGAATTCTTAAATATTGTCAAGTTAATTTTAACAAGACCTGAGTGTGATGTGAATATCGCCGATAATGTAAGCATTCATGATTGTCATCTCTAATCCTGCACATTCATGTCGAATTTTTCATTTACAGGAGGGTCAAACAGCGGTTACTATTGCTACAAACAAGAATCGTAAAGATATTCTAGTTGCCCTTTATGCGAAAATGAAAGAACGCAAAGGACACCATTCGGTAAGATAATTTTGTTTTGTTTCTCCTCGCCTGTATCAACGAAAAAGAAAACAGATGCATGTGTCTTCTTGCACTATATTCCTTTGTCATGCATTACGGACTCGTCTGAATATCTACATGTATGCATGTGTACTGCCTTTCTAGGCACTAGGCAGTAAACCTCGTCCTTCAACTGGCTCAGCATCGAGCCGAATTCCGGCACCTGAAAGGTAACATTCAACTGGCGGAAATAACCTTTTTGCGCGTGATTAATCTAGTTGAATAACATAAAATGCGAAGTTTGCTTTTAACACTTGAATAAGAACAAGAGCATCTTGTTTGTCAACGCGTATACAGAATAAATAACAAACAAAACGCTTAGTTTTACAATACTCAAACCAACAGAATCAACGATCTGTACTTACAAAAAGATCATGTTTGTCTCTTTTCTCTCCTGATTAATTCTATTTTCATTTAATTACTAATCTGCATGTCTGACCTACTTTTGCTGTGATGTATTTCAAAAGGCAACGTCTCTATGAACCTATGTTTTTCATTATAGATCGACCGTCACCAGTTCCAATAGAAAGAGAACAACTGAATCAACATCTGCCGCATCTCGACGAAGTAGTGCTGCAAGTGGTGATTCGGATAGTAATCCAGGTCCAACTGTATCAACATTTCGACGTTATTAAACGTCTTCGTATATATTTCTCCGTTTCTCCTTCTTTTTTATATTAAATAGGCTAAATTTGTTATATCATTTGGTATTTCTTCTTGAAAAAAGCCTAGTCTTATTCTTTCTATACAATTTTTTTGTCAAATGATCAAGTTGAAAGATAATATATATATATAAATTTTGACTATTTGGCAATATCTTACAATTGAGTTCTGTGTTTTTTCTGTTTTTCAACTTTTTTAATATTTTGTTTTATGATTGTCATCCATATTGTCTTAATGTGTGCAGAAAAGATGGGTATATATATATATTGATAGATCAGAGTAAATATAAATGAAGGAACAAAGAAATGAATGTTATGCATTCATCACTGTCGTCAAACATCGAAGAAACCGATAAGAATTATATTGCATATTTTGTGGTCACAGCAAAGATATTGAAGTTTTTCTCTGTACCCTGTTTTTTGTCAATGGATACAATAGCAGACATCGATTGTTATCATATAGTACCTGAAATACAAGGCATTGGTTTCAATTTCGCTCTGCATGTTGTGATAATTATTCTTTACTATGTTTTTCTTCAATTATACAATATATTAGAACTTGCCAACATCCTTGACCGTGCATGTTTACTAAAGCAACAACATTACACTTGTTCTGTAATTACTATCTCAGACAAATGTTGACTTTTGTCTCCTTTATTTGATTACACAGATGATTTAAAGACATACTCATTGTAGAACTTGATCTTTTCTTGATCCACAGTGGACTGAATTACATATATTTCATGAATATGAGAACAGTATCGTTCAAAAATTCAATGTTCGCATGAGTGTATTTATTTGACTGTAAGTACAAAGTTTGCTATATTGGCTTCTATTGGAGCCACAAATACATATTCCGATCGCGAATACGATACTGATGATTTTGTCGTACATTTTGTGCCCATTCGACAAGTTCGGTATTTTTATCCTCATCGCCGTTGTTGTCGTCGGCCTCGTCATCACCATCATCATCATCATCCTCGATATCATCTGCTTCCTCACGTTCACGATGTGGAAAACGAAAAACCACATTGATTAGAAATCGTCCCAATCGATCGATAATATATTGACAACTATCGAAACTATCCACGGGAATGTCGAGATGTTGAACTTGAGGAAACATTGTACAGAACGGTTCAACGTTAACAAAATGTGGATATATCTCATGAAGTTGCACGATGTATAAAGAATGTAAACATTGCGAATATTGAAAAACAGCGGCATTGAGACTATCGAGAACCGAAGCGGTCAGTGTTAATGTTTGTACACTTGATAGATCAAAAACAAATGTTTGGAAAATAGCCGTTGGAACACGTTCGAATCGAATGAATTTTTGAATACGCGATGGATCGACTAATGATCGAATCGAACTAGACAAGCTTGCATTTCGCCATTGCCCATCAAGAACAAGTTGTGTCACGTGAGGAAATCGAGCAGCACCAATGATCTAAACAAAAGTATCTTAAGAATTCAACGGACACATAGTAACGTCTAAAAAGTATTCTTCGTTGACAGACTACAAACACGCCGGAAATATTCAAAAACACTTCTCTATTCTGCTTGCCACCTACTTGTTTTCCTAAGTCATTCACGGCAGTTAGATTGATTTGTAATTTAGTGACATTTCGCATTGATTGACTTGAAAGAAATGGATTGTGTGGAATAGAAACAAACACTGGTCGATCATAATAATATGAGCTGTGTGGATATGGCACTGAATAAACTAACAGTGTTTTATTATACTGTTCAAAAGCAATATTCCAGTTTTTGTCTTGCCAAAATTGTGTTTGAAAAGTGGTGATATAACGATGAACATTACCTGCACTATGATCGAAATGCACTGTAGAGATGAATTGAAAATCTTGACAATTGACTAACATTTTCTCCCAACGCGCACCATTTAACAATGAATAATCACTTTCATAAATTGATTCGATGTGTAGATCATAGACATTCAAATATTTAAACGAAATCAATTGCGAGAACTGTGGTAATAACCACTCAAGTTTTTCTATTTCATTTCTCGCGTACACCAACGACAATGATAATAGATTCGATGAATTTGATAATGGAAGCATTTGACGCGCTGCGACTTCGTCGTCTTCATCATCGTCGTCGTCCGTTTGATCGATCCATTCATCATCTAAATCGATATCGAACGCTTGAAACTTTTTTAAATTTACAGAATAACAGAGAATATTCCGAAAAAGTGAGATATGACAAAGACCGGTCAATTTGATTTCGCGCAGAAAACATTCCGTTGGCCAAACAATCGAAGGATTCAATATTCGGTTTCGTGCGAGATCTAACGAGACTTTAGACAATGATTCTTTGCTTAAGATTGCCATCAAAATATCCATAACAGTCTCACTGTAATATTCATTCGGGTTTTCAACCGAAAGACGTGTGAGTCCGTTGGTCATTGAAAGTAAAATCTGTGCTATTTGTTCATTTTGATCGATATTAACAAGTTTTAACGAACGAAGTTGTTTAAATGATTGCCATTGAAACTTTTTCAGAAATACTGCAACTAAACCAACATTTTCATTACCATCTGACAATGTCAACGATGTCACTTGTTCCGGACGGATAACTGAGCAAATTCGAAATAAATACTTCATAGAAATCGACTGCAGATCCAAATGGTAGTGATCGTACGTATTAATAATCGAATTTAAACGTCGGCAAACATTGAGCATTGATGTCACAATGGTAAATGTATCTAATTGATCGAATATATAATAAATTAATTCAACAGGTAGATTATCTAATGTCAGTAAGTTGGGAAAACCAATCGTGGTAAAACTAGTGTCGTATTGATGTTTATCTTGATGATATCGATTAGTTCGGTTGGATGAACTGGTAGTCGACTGTGTGGTGATAGAATAAACATTTTGTTCAATGTAATCATTTACTCGATGCTTCGATGACAAAAGTTTACATTGTTTGCAACCCATCGTCGTGTTGACGAGCACATGTGTAAATTTCTTATTTTTTCCTCTTTTCTCGTCGTCTATTTTCAATCCGTAGAAATTCACAGTCGAGAAACGAGAAAAAAAAACTTGGTGCTCAGCGTTCGTTGGACGATCGAGTTAAGCGACGGAAGACTTTTTCTTTCTTTTGAAAAATTTATTCAACAAACAACACCTTTCAATCAAATAAAAGCACATTTTTCTTTCTTCATAATAAACAAACTCGTGTGTGTGCAGAGATTTCCAATTAATTATCATCGATCATCGGTGGCTTAGAATTAATCTGATATTATCTTTCGATACAATCGAAAACATTTCATCTCTCTGGAGATAGAATTTTGAAACGTTGGATTTATCGATCTCAGCACGCGAAAAAACAACATCGAAGACAGTCCCGAGCGCCGTGGGCTCGTTGGACAAACAACAAACTAAGATTCTCACATATTCACTCATTCAAAAGGAATAGCACAAATATCTGAATGATCTATTTTGTTTTTTATGCAATCATATATGAATTAACGGATAATTAGTGTTCTTTCTATTGTGAAAAACCAATTAATAAGTTGTTAGCAAGTCGAATCGTATATATTAGCTTTTTTTTCTCTTTATTCTTATGTTACATTTCAAATAATAAAACCATTAATCATCCGGAATATTTCGGGCGAAGTTTTCTCAGCTGTTCTTCTCGGGTCACGATACTTCTATTCAAATTGATCGTTGATGAATTAGTTCGACATCATTCGAACAATCAAACTCAAGTGTTTTTTCCATGGAATTCTATGGGAAATAATGCGTGTTACTTATTTAACATAACTCATCTTGTCTTCAATTCCCCATTGAGCGAAGATCTTTTTTGTATTATGTTGTATTGGGTTGACAAAAATGATCAATATAGTATAAAATGAGATAAATACATTCTCGTGATTCGTGTGAATCAGTTAATGAAAGATGATTCCGAATGAAAATTTTCTCTTCGCATAACATCCGAAGATTAGTGGACTCCAAGACAGATTTTTCATCATTTTGACAGCAAAAGACAGCTAAAGAATACCATTTGCTTTGAAGAATTCTCTTCTCTCGCCAGATGTACATCGTATTCCAGCATGAGGTAATTCACATAGATTTTCACAAGAAGGATATGTTTCAATTCGACTTGTTTTCTCTCTTAGCGAGAGAAAGAGAAAAAAAAAGATAGACGCGTTCGTTGATGGGCTGTCCTTGATGATATAACATTATTGTACTAGTTTATGTTCCTATCTTTCTAAGTGGCACGGTAATATTACTGTCAGTGTCGTTGGGTAAACTAACATAGGAATGATATTAT